TATTACATCACTCCACTACTCCACTCCGTCGAAGTTGTGGTAAGCGGTGTTCGCGCTGTACAGCGGCCCCGGCCCAGAGCAGGAGACGAAACGGCCGCCCCGTTTCGTCTCCTTCTTTAGCCTGAAAGAAGTTATTTCAAACCCCTTCAAAAACAAAAAAAAATGTAAACTTACATTACATGCAGCTATGAAAGAAGGTTAGGAGTTATATGAAAAGGTTTTATTTTTATCCACCCTGTATACACCTCCTAAGTGATCGTAATGCTATACAGCCGATTAAGTGTTTCGAGAAACAGGCTCGAAAAGCTTTCGATATTTTTTATCTAAATTGCAAATACGAAGACAATCCAAACTAATATTATAAATGCGAAAGTAGCTCTGTCTGTCTGTCTTTTCTTCACTCATAAACTACTGAACCGATTTGTGTGAAATTTGATACAGACATACTTTGGAACTCGAGAAAGGACATAGGATAGTTTTTATCCCGAAAACCCTGCCGAAGCGGGAAAATACCAAAAATCCCGCGAGATTGGGAACTATGTGGGTAAAACCAAAAACCTGCAGGAAGTCACTATTCCACGTGAACGAAGTCGCAGGGAAAAGCTAGTTTTCATATAAAATTACGAAGGGTGCTTGTTCTTCAAACGGTATTTAAGTTTATACGTATTTTCAGTCGTCAGTTAACATAAATATTTAAGCCTATCACCCACTACTGAGAGGTATATAGGTATATTACATGCTCATTATTTGAGAACATCCAATTTATTAGTCCAATAATTAAAGTAATATAATTAAATTTTTGTAAGTACCTAACATTTATGAATCAACAAATTAATGTTCCAACTATGTATTATTTTAATTAAATAATTTTTTCTGTGGTCTTTATTAAATATTGAGTTAATGGGTTGATTTAATAAATAATATTTTTTTAGGTTTTACTTGTTATATTGCCTTCATCATAAAGATCATTTTAGTTTAATTTGCATATACATATATACATTGATTTTTTCCATATATGACTTTAAGGAACATTGCTAGTTTACCTACAAAAAGGGGCTGAGATATGAGACACAATAAATATACAATAAGTCCTACTTTGGTCTGTATTGTGGCAAATATAGAGTTCAGATTCAGAATAACACATTCAAACTTAGAAATAAGCTCTTTAGCTTTATGATACTACTAACATTATAAATGGGAAAAAAAAATTAGCAGAAAATATGGATGTATGTAGCTTATAGAATAATACCCTAGATTACAACATATTTTTGGATGGAGGAGGCTTTTTATCAACATATGAGCTAATATTGGTACCTATATTCCTTCTCATTTATATTTCAAGTAGAAATAACTTCGGTATATCAATGTATTTAACAACAGCATACTTAATTATAATATTTCTTACCTACACACGATATCCTGTGTACTCTGCAGCTAAGAATACGATACTGGTTTATAGAACAAGTCTTTTGCATATTTAAAAAACCAAGTTGTTGATAAAACGTCTTGTTGTTGACCATTAGACTTCACTATTTCCACAATTCATATACTGCCGATGTGAACATAGAATGAACTCAACAGATTCATAAAATTACGCAGACATTGAACAAACACACTTATAAAAATTAAGACGCACAAGTCTATTGCGAAAAAATCTAAAGGGACATGAAAACGTAAGTTGAAAACCACATATACAATCTACTGTAACTGTATTTTGAATAAACAACAAATTCTTATCATTAATTTAATAAGTTATGAGCTCAAACAATAATAATGAATTATCAAATCAATGCTCCATTTCCTCAATCGCAGTTATCGTAACTGTAATAATTAAATAATTAATAACAATGAGGTGCTAATATTGTTGTGTTGCAGATGTTCTTGGCAACTAAGTTACACATGAACTGGTCTCAGACATCAACATAGATTACATTTTCAAATCAATATGCATACCGTAACCACCGCATTTGCATTCAATAATTAACTTTATTAATTTATAGGTAAGGTGGAAATCTAAATAAGAGAGAAAATTAAAAAGAAACTTACTATACATACTGTTTTGCTTGAATAAATATTGAAGTTATTGAGATGTTATCTTCTAATGAAAAATTGAAATTAACAATGTCTTCAAGCCTGAAATAAGAATTTTACAAAAAACTAACTTAGACATGTTCTCTTACTAAGTTTGTCAAGAAGTTGTTTTTAAAACATAACTGTCTAACCAACTAACTGTTCAAAGTTATCTTATAAGAATCAACATAATACAGACATTCAGGTAGTAGGTACTGTTTTACTGTCGTCAGTAATGTATCTAAGTTTTGATAATGAAAACAAGGGCAATATAAGAATGTATCAGGTACCTACCCTCTCTGGCTTTCAAATAAACAGTGTTCGCGACAATATTCTCTAATTCCATCAGTTCCAGTGTGGCTGATTTTATCGTAGACCCTCCAGGAAGCAAACACCCGCCGCTGCGGCTCGTCAGCCGCCTGCCAGCCGCACACGACTCTGCCCATCAATGTGTCCCGCGCTCTCCAACACAACTATGCAACCGCTAACTTATACACATAACACTACACCGTACACAGATTAACGTAATCCAACCCGTACAACAGCCTCAAACGCTGCCGTCGGCAATAAACACGCAACAGTTCACGACTACGATTCACGATACCCAAGGGTGTGGTGGAAAGGACGATATCATCACAGTCTTTGAGCGGTAAACGACGGCGCGAACGCTCGTGTGCGTCGGCGGCGATGCAAAACGGTTAGTTTCTTTCAATAAATGCGTTAAAGGAGCACACGCCCGAATTACGCGAGTTATTGATGACGGACAGCAATACGCTACGAAAATTACCACTTTTACAGTGTTTCTACTTTCCAGTTGCCACCCCGGTGTTTCAGAAAACTACCGCACGATGAAAAATATAGTAATTTAGTAATTCTTTATGAGGAACATTATACAAGATGGATATTTCATTTCCTATTTCAGTAAACATTACGTCATTTATTGTAACTAGTATTTGTACATGGTGGCAATTAAAAAAACAAATATGGTAGAAAAAAAAAAACAACAAGTACAATTTTTCAAAAGTTAATAAATCAACAAAATACACATGAAATTTGTTGAGATTTTGTTAGTAGCACGATGATTTTAGTATCATCCAGACATTCCAGACCAACCCTCACATCGCCAGTCACTTTGAGGGTTGAGCGGTTGTGGTACTGTGTCCAGGTCTAAAACCAGACTGGAAAAGACTTAACAGGGAGTTTTGAAATAAAAAGTGCGAGAGATGCTTGTGAACACAAGCCTCAAGCACTTTAGATAGGAATGGAAGGATTGGAATTGGGCGGAAGTGGGTGGGTAGAGTAGGATTTGGGACCTTAGGATGGGCCTGACAAAAGCTAGGCGCCACAGAGATGGAAAGGAACCGGAGAACAAGAAGGAAAGTTTACTATAATGAGTAAGGGCTGGGCAGAGGTGGTCCAAAACTGTTGTGATCATGTAACGGGAGAAGTTATCACAACCAACAGGCTTGGATTTGATGGACAAGATAATCTTTTTGATCTCCGCTGACTCCACAGGAACGAAACGAAATGGAACAATTTTAGAACGCACCAGACCGGCAACAATGCCACAGTACCATCTGTAGTCAGATGATCCAAAGACGAAGAAGTGGAGAAATGTTTCTTAAGATCGTCTGAACTTAATGATCTTATGAAAACAAACTTAGAGCGCACAACTTAATGTGGTTCACACATTTGGTAGTATAATTGATAACCATCAGCCTCTAAGTGCCCAATGCTAGGCAGAGGCCTATTCTCAGCTCACACGAAGAAGACGTGAGAATCAATTACCATGCTTGCTTGAAATACGGTAAAAGGATTTCGAACTTGAAATTCCAAAGTAGAAATCTTTTTACCGTATTTTAGTGGCCTCTTAATTAATTTAGAAAGTAGGTACATACAATTCAGATAATAATAACTTTGGTGCCTACTTACTAGTTTTTAAATCTTTTAATGATAATGATTACCGACATTTTTATCTTTTCATCTTTATATCAGCCAACATTACCACAAGACTTGCGCTGGTCGTCCCAATCAAATTCACACATCACATCAGATGATAATCTTATAAGCGCTCAATGCTGAGAAATTGCATTAATTTTTTTGCATTGATCGCCATTCTTGCTCGAGGTAAATTGCTGATTTGAAACTTTTATATGTCCAGGTTCCGTCACAATATTTTCCTACACCGTATGTCAATGGTGTCTAAATAATCATAGAAACTACATATTACTCGGTAAAAATCACATTGGTACTATCCAGGTATGGAACCCGCACTCTCATGCAAGAGATGCGGGCGCCTTAACCCCCGAGTCACCACAAGAATTAAATTCTGTGTTTCGAAAAAACTTCTAATTTGGTAGAAAATATTTGACTATGGTAACAAATTACACGTCAATCATCGTGTGTATAAAAAATAGGTAGGTAGGTACGAAATGTATAGAAGGAGAATAGTCAATTCAAAGTAATAAAAAAAAATAAGTGTTTGATTTAGTTTCTCCTGAAAATGATTACTGATTTTCGATATAGATTAAACAGACTTTTTTTGGTCCCTCTTTAAGACATGAACGTTTGACAATTATAATTTGTCAAAGGTAAACCGTAAATGTCATGTGGTGGGTAGTTGCCATAGCACTAGGTCTTTGCGTAGAATTGAAAATGCTATTAAGATTTACGGTTTTTGAAAACTCAGTAGCAAAGATCCCGGAACGGTACTGGTTGTATAATAAAAGGCCCTTTCCTACTGCACTGATTAATATTCCTTAAAATAAATCATTAGTTTTTTTAAGCAATATTTTATGTACTTACACATGGTATATTGACAACTGTCAATAAACCGGTAAGAGCAAAGTCGTATAGAATCGGCTTGTGCCTCTCTAGTGACAAGGCGGGAGATAAACAATCACAAAATCACATGGTGATTGATAAAAAAATATTTATTTTCTTATAATTTTAACCATTGAAATGGTTGCTGAACCTTGTGTAGTGTGTGGTGGAACAGACCAAAAATTAATTGATGGATTCTATTACTGTGTAGAATGCGGTACACAAAATACAAATGTAAGAGAAACAGTGATCGACCACAAATCTTTAGGAGATGGCACATTTGCTATATCAACGAGGAGAAAAATTGTTAAAATACATGATAGTAAGATTGAAAGTAAGTTATAGAACATTTTTTATTTAATGTAGGAGGTTATACAGTACTCTATTTAAGGCACAATAGCACACAACTTTATATAATTTCATTGTATGTTGAAAACATACTTTGAACAGCTAAAAATGTAGTTATAACCAGCTTTAGTGTGTGGTAAAAAGATAAAGATAAATGGTTTGTAGTTAGTAGGAAGTTAGTATGAAGCACAAACCAAAAATTGGAAGTAATGAACCATACCTTTTGCCTGTGCTTTTAAAACTTAAGATAAAGGATGAAAGAAACAGAAGACTGATAAAATCACATTGAAGGTCTTCTTTAGCATGTTTGAATAGTTCTGTAAACTAATTGATAGAAGGTAAATTTGATGAATTTTTCATGTCAGCTGCCTAGCTGTTGCCAATAACAAACTTTAATAAAAGGATATACAGTAACCTACATATTTTTTATGTTCACAGTGAGCCCAGAATGGTACAAATGGCATGCATATAACTTCATAATCCTGGGACTTGCTGATGAGCTGGTGGCAGCCGGAGCTAATCCTTCATTCAGATTAAAACTTCTCTGGATCTGGACAAGATACATAAGGAAATATCAAAATAAAGATGATTTAGGGTAAGATGAATTTTTAATAATAATTATTTTTAAGTTCTATTTATTCACATCTTTTTTTTTTATTATTATACATTGTTATTGGTGTAGTCCTTAGTTCTATATCTTTATAACTAAAGGTCTTACTTATTATAAAACTGGTTTTATTTAACTTTTCGGTACGTTGGATGTGTGACTTCTAGGTTACACAACATTATTTTTAATTATAGGATAGGACTCACTGTGTGGTAGGTGATGTTTGTTATTATGGTTATATCTAAGGAGAGTTGCACAATCTTATGTATCATAGTCACAAATATCCATTTAAAAATTGATTGTACCTTTTTTATTATTGTTGTAACAAAAAATGTAACACTCATAATTGCTAACTTTTTTACAGATTAGCAAAACCATCACAAGATAACAATGATAATATAAACCTTACAAGTTTTATGGTAGAAGAGAATAGTAACAACACAATTAATGAAGATGTTAATGAGCAAGATAATGTAGAAGACAAAACAACAAAATTCAAAGGTGTAAATAATATCATGGACGGATCTCGGAGAGATATAAAATTTTTGTCAAAAGGAGTTATTCTAGCCATGTTATACTTAGCACTGAATTTAGATGAGAGTGACATACAACTCTCCCATCTGTACAGGTTCATCAAAGAGAAACATTTAAATTTCTCCAACATTCTAAGGTTTGTACCAGATGATATTCATGTGAAAACTTTACAAAAACTATGGACTAACTTCTTACACAGTAAAATTGTTAATATGCATTTCTTACGAGCATTAGCCATGTCGTTACTAAGGAAACTTGATCTCGGAACACCCAAAGTTCCGAATCTGAGAAAGATTATTGACAACATCTTATTGGAACTTTGCCTCCCAAAAGATTTAAAACCTTTGATATATTCCTTAATGCAGTTTTATCAATGTGATTTCCTTGATGTCAGCAATAAGTCTAAAGAACGCCTTAGTCGTGTGCCTGATTATGAAGGGGTGGTTATGTCCTATGTTCTAGTAGCTATAAAACTGTGCTTTGGTCTAGATGGGGATTATGAAGAAAGATTATCTGATGTAGTTGATAAGATCAATGTAGACAAAGATCTTCAAAAGTCACATAGAAATGGGAAATACAGTGAACCAAGTACAAGATTGTTTTCATTTAGGGAATGGTGTAATTATTTACAATTTAGAAAAATCACTCTTAGTAAGTGCTGTCTGTACATGGCCGAGCAGTATTGTTTAGACACGGATGATCAAGTCTACATTGAACACACAAGTGATAGACCACAAAACACCAAAGACTTACAAGATGAGACTGCGATGGATTTGATTAAAAAAATACCTGAAAATAATGAAGGAAGGGTTATTCCAAAAGATCGGTTTATACCAACACTAACGCCTATGTATGAGTACACAGATATTATTATAGAACATAGCCAGGATCCAGAATTGAGGTATCTTCTTAGCGAAGATTTTACACAATATTCACTAAAATATGCCTGTGAGGATTTAGAATTGTTAGATGATAATGCTGAGAACATCATTAAAGGGGTAAGTGATAATAGAAAGATAAGTAATAAAAACATTCTAGGCACAATCGTTACAAAGAAATGTAAAACTGAAATGGTTTATGTTAAGAATTGTGAAAATAAAAACTGGATGAAAACAAATCCGCCAACTATGGAACATGTGCACTGTGAAGATGTGCAAAATTCAAGTACCGACAAAGAGAGTGATCACGGCTATGACTCAGAAAACCCGACAAATGAAAAAGAAGTTATCAAGGAAACTGAAAATGTGGGCGACGTCACGGATGTTAGTATGAAAGAAACAGAGAAAGAACATATTAGAGAGTTCATCATAACTGAAGAAGACAATGAGAAAAATATATTCGACGATTCCTTTGAAGAACTTGATTTAAAGGATGAAATAGAACAAGCTAACGATGAAGAATTAGACCTACCTAGCGATGAGCTGCCGTTACCGAATAACGAATCAATTAACGATGATCGCGCTAGTATAAGTGACATGTCAGATAACGAAAGCATGATACCAATATTTAACCCCGAAACTTTTGATAGAGAACAAACAATTAAAGAGTTGGTCTTAATGGCTTGTAAAAAATATAGAATCCCTATTCCTAATGAGTACAGAAATAAGGAACCTAGGAAAAGGAAGGCTGATGTGATGCGCGATGAAGATATACACAGAGAACCAAGAAAACGGACTAAAACAAGTGTAGCGGAGAATAAGCAGAAAGTGGCCGAACTCGTCTCTGGCTACTACGATCATCAGCGGTTAGATTTTTTTAATAAATTACAAAACGAAGTCAGCTTGGCTATTCGCAATAGTGCACCCTTTGGTGGGTTAGAGCCCAATCTAAATGATATTGCCAATATCACGAATGCAAACGTAACTCAAACTGAATCGCTAAACACTACGGGTGTAGATGTTGCTGCGTTATCATCAAGAACATCAGTACTATCTGAAAATTTAGAAAATCAATTGACCATTAACCCAGAAACAAGTGCACTACAAACACAAAGTGACAAAGAACAGAATGCAGATAAAAATGATGTTATTGAAGAAGTAATAGATGAACATACAGAGAAGAAATTATTCGAAGATGAAGATGAAATGAACATAGATGACTTAATACTCGAAACAAAGGTTGATCCGAAATTTGACGATAACAAGTACGATACTGAGCAACTTTATCTTAAAATCAAAATGGAAGAAGAAGACGAAGAAGAAGACAATACTAGTCTTTTACAGGATTCTAACTTTGATGAGATAATCAACAAAAAGCTGGAAGAAGGTAAAACTGGTTTCTTTTCGACATCAAAACCAGAAAAGGTCGAGAACGTTAAAACAAAATATGAAAGTGATTCTGATGACGAAGTACCATTGAAGATGCTACAAGAAGAAAAGAAAATGATCGAGGCTAGGATTGAATGGGAAGAAAATTTCGAACCTTTAATTAAGAAAGAAAATATCACAGAATATAAATATTGGTTCAGGCATTACGACCATGACTTTATGGCTCGGTCTAAAGACTGGCATAAAAAGTTTGATGAAGAATTAAAAGAGAACACTCCAAGCAGTTTCTATTTTGTCATAAAAGAATGCGCTACGGTTATTAATTCCACTACTTTTAATGTTTATAAGCACATGCAGAATCTGGAAAAGTTTATAAGTGCTAGTGCGAAATACGTAGATAAGCATTCATTAGATACGATTACTAGTGTGGGAGACTCGAGTGTAGAACAACCATGCTTCGGCACGAATGGGTCGGCTCAACCGAGGAATACCACGGCCTCAAGTGTGGTGGACTCAAGTGTAGAACAATTTTGCTTCGGCACGAATGGGTCGGCTCAACCCAGTGATACCACGGCCTCAAGTGTGGGGGACTCAAGTGTAGAACAACCTTGCTTCGGCACGAATGGGTCGGCTCAACCGAATGATGCCACGGCCTCACAGAACAACGGCGTGAATGAACCACAGAGTTGTGTTTCGCCGTGTGAGTGAGCTTACCGGAGGTGCCATCCTTCCCCTCCCGCAATCTCTCCCTAATTCCAAACATAATCCATCTCCAAAACCCTAATCCCCAAATGGTCGGCAACATACTCGTGATTCCTCCGTTGATGCGGTTGTCTATGGTTGGCACTGATTGGTTACTATCAGGTAATTCGTCTGATTCATTTGCCTTAATATCGCATAAAAAATAGTAAATTCTATGAGCAACAAGAATGGCTTTTTGAAACATGCCACTAACTGGTAGATGTTGACTACGACGACTTTCAATGAAAGGGGCGATTTTGTAAACCCTTCATTTAAAGAATAAGTAGAGGATTTTTTTCAACTGTTTGTTCCACGGCGAGTGGCCAACTTTAGTACATACTACAATCCAAAATAAAAAATATTGTTTTTAACCGACTTCCAAAAAGGAGGATGGTTCTCAATTCGACCGCATATATGCTTTTTTTATTTTTTTTAAATGAAACGTTCAAAAAAGTGACAAGAACAAAATTATTTTAAGTTATTCGGCTATCTAATTTAATTTAACTCTATTTGTATAAAAAATATTGTTGTGATGGAATGTTCATAAATTCTTCTAGTTTTATACAAATGTACCTGTGATCTCTGAATGTGATAGGATTTTTATTCGACAGCGAAATGTTAAAGTTATTTTTATTTTTATTGTTCGGAACAAATGTATTCATTGTGAGTATTACGCATGTCCACTAGTTTATAACCATTAGGCATTTTTATTTATGCCTGGGTAAGAGTCGGTCAAAAATTGCTACAGTTAGAGTATGGCCGACAATTTCGAGCTCTCCAGATAATACTAAAGTAGCATGAAATCATATTTTTTCAATAACTGGAACTCAAAAATTAACTCTCCAATCGTTTGACTCTAGAAAATCCTCAATTTGATAAATAAGACCTTACGCGACGTTATCGCCATCTGGTGAACTTTTTGTAAATTTGCTTTGTGTTAAGTGGTCCCACCGCCTATTACAATAGGACTAATTTAGAGCAAATATAAATAGTTTCCTGTTTTTTTTGTAAGATGGCAATAGGTTGACCCTCTGGCATCTGAACTATTTATTTATTGACTTTTGTTTACTTGTGTTTCTTATATTATCACTAATTTATTTTTATAAATCTGAAATATAATCTCAGTTCTCTAATTAGTTAAGTTTGTTTATGTAAAAATGATGTACTTTTTCAATGCAATTTTGTTACAAATAAAGTAATAATAATTTCACAAAATCAATTCGCCTTTCATTTTCATCCGCATACTAAACTGCGAAAAAGGTCGGTAAGCTACACAGCTGCTCATAAAAAGGTTTTAATGTACCTACAAATATAAAACTAATTTTGAAAAATATATTTAATTTGACAGTCAATCAAATCTCTTCAAGACGATCGTTGGCGAAATAGGTATTGCAAAATGATCGTAAATAATTGTCGTCGTTTGTTACGATCCGCTTTATGGCCTTCCCACCTTTTGAAGCGTGATTTCGCTCAAGTGGGCCATATTATTTCAACTCCTCCACGAGTTAAATGTACTTACTGGGTGAGTAACTTTTATATGGGATAAGAATGCAAAGCAAGCAGAATCATCAAGGGAATGTAAACAATTAATGTAGCCACACTAGCCACGCGATATCCAGAGGTTTCGTAAGAGCATTACTGATATTTTGGAGGGAGGGGAGGGATTAGACGTCCTGTCGTCTCACTTAGATGGCTTTAATGAGAATTATCACTACGGCCTACCCGCACAGGTCGTAATCGCAAGCAGACTATACGTAATTATATGTTGTAAACATAAAACGCAATTTGAAAGTTAATATAGCAAACCGCTACGGGTCGGAAATTGCTAAACAAATTCATCATCTTGTTTTATCATATACAAATCATGATTAACATCTCTGATTATTGTAAATTATTAATGATAGTTCGCGTGAAGCGAATCGTGCTATCTATACCTAATATTATAAAAGTGAGAATGTATGTTTGTTTGTTATTGTTTTACGCAAAAACAGCTGTTCTGATTTGGTATGTAGATTGGTGATACCGTGGATTAACACATAAGCTGCTTTTTATCAACACACTATGCTGGCGCAACCGCAGACAAAAGTTAGTGTTCCATGTTCGAGTTTATGTCCAAAATGCAAAGCTCCATTTTAATGACGATACATAATCTTTTTCAGGAGAAGACTGTGCATATTATATTCATGTACGTTGTATGGCTAGGACCAGTTGCATATTTCCATACCCAATTGAAGGTGTGGCGACGTGACTACATCGGTGACCGATTCTAGGTCTTTAAAGCATTTAATGTACTGAGTACAGCATTAATTAATAAAGATTGTTTTATACATGGTTGTTTCATTGATCGTTTTCGTTATTGGGATTATAAGATTCCAAACCTCTCGAAGGCCATTAGGCCAAGTTATCCCTGTATACACTATGGAAGTGCACTCAATTTAACGGCCAATACAGAACAATGGCGCTTATTGAAAAAAAAAATGTATGGTTAAGGATGTGGCTAACGACTGGTTAACATTATCACAAAGGAAATGGCTCCTGTCCCTGACCAATATTAAAACATACTTGCAGACGGCGCTGATTGCTTACCATCAGGTATGCTCGTTTGCTTCTTTCGCATAAAAAAGGTGTCTGGAAAATACAGTTAAGAGCCTCCGGAAACGGCCACTAGCAATATACATATTGAGCTGCGTAGGGAAGGCGAGGCACCCCACAGCTATTATAGCAATCCCGGAAGTATAGTCAAGAGCTCTACCAGCTTCTTGCTGAGATACATCCTTCCACCAGGTCCCATTCAAATTTTAGTCTTACTAATCTCCTTTCATGCCAGTCAATTTAGACATGAGTGAGGTGGGCGGGGTTTTTCCTCACCAGTGTTTACTGCAGCTAGTCACAAATACTAATCAGAGATGATATCAAGATACATCGCGCCTCGCGGGAGTCAGGTTTATGAGGTCACCACTGCCCAGCACCTTGTCTGCTGCTTGCAGATATAGAATTCCAACTTTTGTTCATGGTGCTCTGTCATAGGCGCAAATGTTCAGTGTCCGTCACAGCCGTCACTGTCAGTGTCAATTTCAATTCAAATCCATGCAGCGGTGACACTTGACAGGCCGTGTTGTAGCTTTGCTGTTATTGTGGGATATTGTTGCCGCTTAAATTGTTTAAAACATCTTAGTTTATTCAAAATGAAAGAACCTAAACATACACAGACACCAATAGAAGATTTATCAGAATTAAGGAGTTATTTCGCTTCCCATAATTTAGTTCGCGAATATGTAGCCCATTCATCTAAAGTGCATTCTGTGGGATGGTCCTGCGATGGCAGAAAACTCGCGTCAGGTTCATTTGATAAAAGTGTGGCTACATTTACGCTGGAGAGAAATAGATTGGTAAGTTAAAACTTGTTTTAATTTTGTTTATGTGTTTTTAGGTTATGTTTATGTCTTCGTTTTGTTTATTGCTAGGCAAAGGTCAACTAGTGTAGAGCCTAGTAATAATTTTCAAAGGTTTCATTGTTTTTGTGTTTCAGGTGCAAGATTACATATTTAAAGGACATACAGGTTCTGTTGATCAACTGTGTTGGCATGCTTCACACCCTGACTTGCTGAGTACAGCTAGTGGAGATAAGTCTGTAAGGATTTGGGACACAAGGTGAGCTATTAGCATTAATACTTTTTCAACATACATATGGTAACGCATTATTACCATTCTTTAACTCTTAATCGATTTTTTTTTACTAGTTTATATACTTTACAGGTCTTTTAAGAACCATTTCAGTGATTCTTACTTGATTTTAAATACATTGAATCTTCATTAAGTAATTTTTTAATTTCTTGTTACTTAATTTAGTGAAAATAACAACTTACCTACTCATGTGAATTTACTGAGAAAAGCTGCACTAGTTTGAAGTCCCAATGGGACTCTTATTCATGAGTAGCATGATATGTCTCATGATAATTAGTATAATTACAAAAATGTTTGGTACTTATTTTAGACCATATTGTTATAGTGACTATTGTAGTCTCCTGAACTTTATTTTGTCCCACAGGACACATAAATGTGCAGCAACAATAGCAACAAAAGGAGAGAACATCAACATTGCTTGGTCTCCTAATGGCAGCACCATTGCAGTTGGCAACAAGGAGGATCTAGTCTCATTCATAGACACTAGGACTTATAAAGTTGTAAGTAATCTTTTTATGCATTACCTTACACAATTTTCTAAAATTGGAAAACTATGCCTCCTGAACTGGGAAGTTTCGTTAATGAATATAGGTAATGGTTGTTTTGATCATATGATGTTTATATTATTGCTAAGCAGAGGTAAAACTAGAAGTTGAAACTTATATATTACTGTAAAATGTTGAGGAATTGGGATTGTTCTAATGCAGTTTCTTTCCAATTCTATTTCCCAGTTTTACTTCTATGTATATTATCAAATCAGAAATATATATTTCTGAAACAGAACAACAATTTGTAAATTCCATATAAAATTGTTCTATGCTCAAATCAAACCCTCATTACATTGCACAACTACTGGTAGCACAGCCTCCCAAAATGTTCCCTTACTAAACAATTTCATCACTACTACATAGTATGAAACATAGTCACTTTCTCTGTCCCTATATCCTCATATGTATGCTTAAATCTTTAAAATTAGGCTACTGATTTTGATGTGGTCTTTCTTAATAGATAGAGTGATTGAAGAGGAAGGTTTATATGTATAGAAACATCTTCATTAAATAGTGGAGCAATTTAGTATCACCTTTGCCAATATGGCAAGCCGGGACAGGTATCTAGTTGCTTATAAAATTCACATATTAACCCTAAAATAAAGAGATTGGTGTTTGGATTTTGGTTTTTAGACAGTAAAAGTCTGACAGTACCTTTCGCCCTTCCCCGAGGGTGACGGGTCTCCATGAGGATGGAACACCAAAAAAAAAAGATTTGCCCTCTAAATATTGTACTTTTTTCTCAGGTTGTAGAGGAGCAGTTTAACTTTGAAGTGAATGAGATCTCATGGAACAACACATCAGATTTGTTCTACCTGACCAATGGACTAGGCTGTGTGCATATATTGTCGTAAGTTATTTTTATCAATACTTTTTTTATCATATCAATGCTTTAAATTTTGTGTTAAAATCTAATCATTAACATGGTAAGTGCCTTGGGAGTTACCGGTGACCTCTGTTAGCGGAGGATTTGCTTTCAACTATTTTCTGTCGGCAGTCA